ACTCAGGAGGTGAGGGGAGAAGACACACAGGCAAAGAACAAGGAGGACGAGAACAAAACAAGACAGTGCGGAGGTCGGCAAGAGGAGACGAGGGCCGAGCACGCGGAGGACAACGACAGGTCCAGTCGTGCGGGACAGCAGGAGGAGACGACCGTGACTGAGGAGACAAAACAGTCGGAGTCGAGTCCGGAGGAGGAAACATAGGACCGTACGCAGTAGGTGACTGGGAGTGGACAGGAGGAGAGGAAGGAAGACCAAGGGCCCGAATGCCACTCACTGGAGGGAACAGCTGCTGCAAAAGTGGCGGCTGCGGTGTCTGCTGCTGCTACTGCTGCTGCTGCTGCTGCTGGTCCAACTGCTGCAGCTCCTGCCTCTCCTGCTCCACCCGCTCCTGCTCCTCACGCTCAAGCCGGCAAAGAGCCTGGAAACGTGTGTCATAACAGTGAGGAGGCGAAGTAGGCGTGCCTCCAGCTCCTGTCTCCTCAGTACCATCTCCTACAGTGCCAGCACCTCCTGCTCCAGCACCCCTAGAACTAGCGCCAGCACCTCCAGCTCCAGCACCCCCTGAACTAGCGCCACCTGCGCCACCACCTCCAGCTCCAGCACCCCCAGAACTAGTGCCTCCTGCGCCAGCACCTCCAGCACCAGCACCCCCAGAACTAGCGCCATGTGCGCCAGCACCTCTAGCTCAAGCACCCACAGAACTAGCACCTCCAGTGCCAGAACCCCCAGCTCCAGCACCCCCAGAGCTAGCGCCACCTGCGCTAGCACCTCCAGCTCCAGCACCCCTCGAACGAACACCCCCAGACCGAGTAGCGCCAGTGGCTGCACCTCCAGCTCCAACACCAACGGAGTCCACAAGAACCTGTCGCGGAAGTGCCGAAGGCTGCTGAGGGGACTGTGAGGAGGACTGCGGGGAGGGAGACTCTACCTGACGCGCGACCGAGGGTAGAGGGGTAGCGTGAGACACACCTGACGGGGCAGGACCAAGGGGGGGTGGGGGGACCGGAGGAGCAGGAGCAGGGGGAAGAGAGGGTGCGAGTAAGAGGGGGGGGAGGGGGAACCGAGAGACCTCGACAGGGGTACCGGGTGTAGTAGGACACGGACTCGTCAAACTGGACGTCACGAGAGTCTAGAAACTGGTGGAGGGGCGGGTGGTAAAAGGAGTAGTCGGGAGAGCCCACCAGGAAACCAAGGAAGATACCGGGGATGGCGCGAGCCGAGAGCTTGTCCACAGAGGTGTCGCGGACAAGCGCAAGGCAGCCCCAAACGTGAAAGGCTGACCCAAGACCAGGGGACCCAGTCCAAAGACTGGTCAGTGAAACCTCTGGCCGCGAGACTCGCGGCTGGAGGTTCAGCTGGTGCGCGGCGTAGCGCAGCGCGTAGGGCCACAGAAAATAGGGCGGACGGGCATGGATCATGGATGTGCGGGCGATGTCCATGACCAAGCCAATGCAGCGCTCAGCAACCCCATTCTGCTGTGGGGACTCCGACAGCATCCAGGACTGTCTGATGCCCTGCTCGCCGCAGAACCCGGCAAGGACGCCGGAGCGAAACTCACCCCTACGATCAAAGTGGACACAACGGAGATGACTACCACGAGTGCCCTCAGTGGCCAGAAGCCACCGGATCAGCGTAGAAGTCACCTCGGACTTCTTCGCGAGAGGAAACACCATGGTGTACTTGGAGTAGTCGTCAACGACCACTAGAAAGTAGCGCTCCCTCTCAGGTCCTAGTGTGGGGGCAGGGCCCCAGACGTCCAAGTGGAGAGTTTGGAAGGGAGCGGTGGTCGGACGAAGAGAGGAGGAGTGCAGAGTGGTGCGCAGGCGGCCGGCGACGCAAGGAGTGCAAGGTGGAGCAAGCGAGGGAGGGAGCGACGAAAAGACGCGCGGGAGACCTGAGACAAGACTGTGACTAGCCATGCTGCAGAGGCGGGGGATCGACGGGTGGCCAAGACGGTGGTGCCACAAGACGGTCGGGTGGGCGAGAGACCGACAGGAGCAAGACACAGCAACCTGACCAGACGCAGCAACCTGACTAGACACAGCAACCGGAGGGGACGCAGTAACCTAACCGGACTCTGCTACCTGGGGGGACGTAGTCACCTGACCGGACTCTGCTACCTGGGAGGACGTAGTGTGCAGAACAAAGAGTCCTGAGTGGGGAGAAGCGCCAGTACAGATCGTCGTCCTCCCGTGCGCAGGAAAAGTGACTGTGATCCCACGGTCCCGAAGGTATCCAACACCCACCAAGTTCCGAGAGAACGAGGGGATGTAGAGACCAGTGAGGAAACCAGAAGGGACAGCCGGCCACGGGAGAGTGGTCGAGCTGTGAGCGACTGCTGGTCCTGAACTAGGATCAGCCAGGGCAACTGGGACTAGAGCCGAAAGAGGTGTGATAGTGGTGTGGTCGCGGAAGAAGCACTGCGACGCGCCTGAGTCCAGCGTGAAGGAGAGCGACACGACAGCAGTCGTCACAGCTGGACTAGTGACTACACAAGCACCTACACTAAAAGCACAAGTACCTACACTAGCAACGGGCAAAAGCCTAAGCTGGGTACACGGAAGCCAAGAGACCCATACATGACAGAATAAATAGTATCCATAGACATATCAAACACAGGGTAACCACTATGAGACAAACCGGGCCAGATCGGTGGCCTCGACTCAGACCCAAAACGCTCACGGTAAAGGTCGTCGAGGCGACTGTAGCAGCTGTGTGCAGAGTGGTCAAGACGCCAGCAGGTAGTGCCAGCACCAGGGCCAGTCAGGATCCGGTACTGGCAGGGGCCGACGTCGCGACCACCGCGACGAGCCCCCCAGCTGGCTGGGCCGCTGCTGCAGCCAACGCTAACCGAACCACCAGGCCCCCACGGCTGCTGAGGGCGCCACTGCTGGTGAGGGCGCCACTGCTGGTGAGGGCGCCACTGCTGCTGAAGGCGCCAATGCTGCCAAGGGTACCACTATAGCTGAGGGCGCCACTGATGTTGAGGTTCCCACTGCTAAAACGGCCGCTACTGCTGTCCCTGCTGCTGGAAAACTCTAGTGGACGCCATGGTGAAACTAGGCGAGGAACGGCCGGAGCACGGAGCAAACTGAGTTAGAAGCGACTGGAGCAGGAACGGCTGGAGTGAGACACGACCGGAGCTACAAACGGCAGGCTATAAACTACGGGCTCGAGGAGCGGCTGGAGCGAGGAGCGAGAACAACTAGGAGCGCCAGGTGAAACCAGACGAGGAGTAGCGGCCTCCAGCCGCGGCGGAACGGTGAACCCAGTGAAGGAACGGTAGAGAACGGGAAAACCGACGGTGAGAAAACCCGAGAACGGCCTGCTACGGGCCGGGGCGCGCTAGAGGTGCCAGCCGCTGCGAGAGTTGCCAGTGGGCGGCTAGAAGGAGGTGTGGGCGGCTAGGAGGAGGTGTGGGCGGCTGGGAGGAGGTGTGGGCGGCTGGGAGGAGGTGTGGGCGGCTAGGAGGAGGTGTGGGCGACTAGGAGGAGGTGTGGGCGGCTAGGAGGAGGTGTGGGCGGCTAGGAAGGTATGTGAGGTGATAGGGCGCGCATGTCTGGCCAGGGGTGCGCGTTCCTGGGCAGGGGCGCGCGCTGCTATGCCTGGGTGGCGCGCGCTGCTATACCCGGGTGGTGCGCGCTGCTCTGCTAGGGCGCGCGCTGCCCTGTACGTGGGCGCGCGTTGCTCTGCACGGGCGACGCGACGGGCTGAGGCAGGGCGCACGGGCGACGCGACGGGCTGGGACAGGGCGCACGGGCTACGCGACGGGCTAGTGTAGGGCGCACGGGCTACGCAACGGCTGGGGCAAGGCGCACGGGCTACGCGTCGGGCTGGGGCAGGGCGCACGGGCTACGCGACGGGCTAGGGTAGGACGCACGGGCTACACAACGGGCTGGGGCGGAGGCGCGATACGGAGGGCGTGGAGGGCGCGTAGGGGAGGGCTAGGCGCGGAGGCGCGGGGGGCGCGTTACGGAGGGCGCAGAGGGCGCGTTACGGAGGGCGCGGAGGGCGCTAGGGCGCGGAGGGCACTTGGGCGCTTGACTGAGGGCGCGTAAGGCGCGGAGGGCACTTGGGCGCGTGACTGAGGGCGCGTAAGGCGCGGAGGGCGCTAGGGCACGTGACGGAGGGCGCTAGGGTGCGGAGGGCGCTAGGGCGCATGACGGAGGGCGCTAGGGCGCGTGACGGAGGGCGCGGAAGGCGCGGAGGGCTCGAGGGTGCGAGCTAGGCTAGGCTAGGCAAGGATTCTAAACCTACTCGTGGTACCATCTTAGAAATAGAATGCAACGGAATGGTTTGGGACTAGCAAGATGGGATACAAGTACTCAACCCTAAAAAGGGTTGTACTCCCTAGAGTGCTACTCACTGTAGCCTAAGAACCTATAATAACATTTGACACGTACTACCTGTTGGTTCATGAATAAGCTGCAATGCAAACAAGGCGCTACAAGCTCAATCACAAGCAAAAAGCAGCCGTGGTGTTCAACTTCACAAATGGAGGTGTTTCACTGTTGAGTTGAGTCGTGTTGGGGGAACGCAAATGGGATTGTGCTGTGAAAACAGGCTTTCATGTTAGCAGAATCGAAATCCGTGTCGTGTGCTTGTGATGTGAGGCTCTGCCTTGTGAATCACACCTCAATCAGCATACTGCCTTCACACAGCTCAAGACCCCCTTTGGGTGGCATCTCTAGCTGGCAGGACGACGCACTTACAGCACTATTTCACGAACTGGGTTTGTCAAGTGTTCATCAATATTGCACTAAGCCATACTCAACTAGTGCCATATTGAACTCCATCTAAGAGCTCTCTGTAGGGCTACTTTTCAACGGGTACAGCAGGCATTGTATCTACAATCTATGCCATATTCTACCGAACATCATGTACGGTATTACCGTACTACCTCACTACTTGTCACATCCCTCTCTAATGAGGGCGTGGTGGTTACCCCCGTCCGACTATCCAAAACGTGCCTGTCTGTCCTCGTGACTGCTGCCCCTCTAACTATCCAGCACTTGGCTCAAGAGCGAAGCAACATTCGCTCTCGCTCGAACCGTCCTCTCAGAATCAGCATCCTCGCTACTGACTGCTCCATTCTTCCTATAAGCCAATTGCTCTATCATTCCTGTTGGCCGCTTCTCAAGCTCCCCAACCGAATGATCAACCCGTGCATCCACTCCCTGTGAAGCCAGCCCCACTTCAACCATCCCCACTGTGCGCTCCTGCTGCTCCTTCCCGTCCTCCTCCTCTTCCTCTTCCTCCCTCTCCTCTTCTTTAGCATGTTTCCAAGAGTAAGGATCGTGCGCTGCCTTATCCCCTCCTGCTTCGCCCTCATACCCTGTGCTGCTGTATCTGGGTACACTCGCCCCTCCAGCATAATCAGTCCCATACGGGACCCCCACTCCATCTCCTGCTCTCTCCCCATCTCCTGCATAATCAGGCGCATACGAGACTCTCCCCCCATCTGCTGCATAGTCAGGCGTATATCGAGGGCCAGTCCCGCCGCCCGCCTCCCCAATATACTCCATACTGCCATACATGGGCGCATCCCCCTCTCCCCCCGTCCCCCCATCGGCAAAGAACTCAGCTGCCCGTGCCAGGAAGTCATGCACCGATGCTGATGCTGCCCCTGGCCCTCCCCCACCAGCACCATACGGGTCTGCATCACCCCCGCTAGCCCCGTATGGGTCTGTGCTACCCGTATGTACCCCGTATGGGTCTGTGTCGCCCCCATGAGCCCCATATGGGTGGGTGCCTGGCCCTGAACCAGCAGCACCATAGGGATCCGGGGCACTGCCTTCCTCCTCATGGGCACTGCCTTCCTCCTCATCGTCATCCTCCTCCTCCTCAGACGTCCTGCTGCCCACAACAGCACCCAATCCGCCCTCCTTCCCTCTCCCCTCACCACCCCGCTGATCTGCGCATTTCTCGCCTTCTTTCCGCCCGCCTCCACTCATGCCCCCTTCCTTCCGCTCTTGGCCCATCCCCCCTTCCTTCTGCACTTCTCCCCCCATGCACCCCCCCTTCCGCCCATCTGATCCCATCCCGCCCAGCCTCTCCCCCCTGTCCGTGCTGCCCTCAACCTTAACCACCCATGTTCCCCTCCCTCCCCCACCACCAACAGGAAGAGCGGCAGCAGCACCACCAACAGCGGTACCATCAACAGCACCAGCACCACCAGCACCACTAACGCCGCCACCCCCCACACTGCCACCACCACCAGCCATCCTTCTCCCGCCCGCTCCCCCAACCCCATCCCTAAACCCCTCCTTCCCCCTCTCCATCTCTCTGAACCCCTGTCTCTCCCCCACCGCACCCCACGGCCTGTCCCTCTGCCAAATCTCTCTCAACCGGACCAACTCCCTCTCCTCCGCACTCCCATGGGAAAATCTGCACCTCTCACCGTCCAAGCACCCCGTGCCGACGTGGAAATACTTGCAGGGGAAGCGCGCCAAGTCGTGGGAGAAGGGGCAGTCATCCCCCTTAAGGCACGAATTCGTTACATGGAACTTGCACGGCTCGTTCTTGGTCCGCGGAACGCCTGTGTGGGGGAAAGGGCAGGACGCGCCCTTGCTGCAGCGTCCACCCAAATAGAACTTGCAGGGGACGGACACACGCGAGGGTCCCGCTTCCATGCGCCGCCTATGCCCCCCGCCTCCGCCTCCGCCTCCCCCTCCGCCTCTTCCTCTCCCGCGCCAGTCCTCCCGCCCGCCCCTTCCGCCGCCCCTGCCCCCTCGCCCGCGATACGCCCCATCGTGTCGTCCCCCATTCGTTTCGTCCTGCTCCCACTCGTTTCTTCTCCTCTTCCCCGCCCATCCTTCCTCCCCGTCCTGCCCTCCCCCTTCCCCATCCCCACCCTCTCCCATTCCTCCACTCCCCTCCCCACCATCACTTGCCGTAGCTCCAACGCCTGTTCTTCGCCTTGCTCTCGCTCTTTCACTCTCCCACTCCCCCGCTCCCACCTCCTCTTCCTCCTCCTCCTCCTCTTCCGCTCCCCAAAACCCTCCGCTCGCCAGCAGCGCCGACAGCTGCCCCTTCTCCCCACTACCCCGCGCATCTCCCGCCCGCTCCGCCCTTCTTCCCCCTCTTCCAGCCCCCTCCGCCCCTCCTCTCTCCGCCTCCTCCCCCTCCCCCGGTCTCTCCCTGAACCCTTCTCCCCCCTTGCCTACAACCCCAACCCCGCCTTCTGAACCATCCGCGGCAGCATCAGCAGCACTAGCAACGCTGCCAATACCGCTAGCAGCAATGCCGCCGGCAGTAGCAGCTACAGCAGCATCAGCCATGCTACCAGCGCCGCCCGAACGCATAGCAGCAGCAGCGCTAACAGTAGCTCCGGCCTTTCCGCCTTCGTGCGCCTTACCCCTGTGATGGTGCCGGCTGCGGTGGTGGTGCGCGTGGTGATGGGGGTGATGGTGGGGGTGATGCGGATGATTGCCATGAGAATGGGCATGAGCTCGAGGCTCCGAGTGCGGGTGCTGCTGGCGAGGATGATGAGGCCCATGATGATGCTGATGTTTGGCTCTCTTAAACCCCAAGCCGTCAACCCCATCGTCGTCACCATACCCAACAGGATCGCCATCACCATCACCCATGCTATCAGAAGCAGCATGAGCATCGGCATCTGCATCCGCACGGGCAGCATCATGATCATGGGGGTGAGAAGTCATGGTCCACCCACGGGGCTTCACAGGGGACCCGCTCCCCGCGCCGATCCCTGCCATCTCCCCGAGCGCGTCGATCATCTGCCGCCCGTGCCCCCTCTGATGGTGCCCGTGCGACCCACGCCCGTGCGACCCGCGACCGTGCGACCCACGACCGTGCGATCCACGACCGTGCGATCCACCCCCGTGCGACCCAAACCCGTGCGACCATCCTGCGACTGGATCGCCTGCGATACCGGCGGGATGACCGGACGAGGCCGGGAAACTGGTCGAAGGTCGACTCGATCCGAGCGCGGGTGCATGCCCAGACGTGTGTCCGGCCCACAGCTTGGCCACTTCGCTGAACATCGCATCTTCATCCTCCTCCAAGTTAACTCCTGGAACGGCGAGCACAGATCCAAATCCACTTTCCACTTTTTCGTGCCTGTCTGACTTCGATCCCGTGTCTCTCGTTCTGTCTGCCTGATCCGGCCGTTCCTGGTTCGTCGCGTCTCTAGGAGCAGGAGGGGTCTGCGTTTCGTATACCGATCCTGCTCTTAACGCGGATCTTTCAGCGATCGAATCTTGCTGCTCTTTCGTGTGTGACACGGCGGAGTTGTCCAAATTGTTGCCACGTGGCAACGAGCTGGCGGAATTAGCGAGATTCGGATCGTCAGGAGCGACAAACTCGCCTTCTTCGGATTCTGATTGGCCATCCTCTTTCATGTTGATTGGATCCGCCAAACGCGGCGATCGGAAGCAATGCGGATCGATTGTCAGTGTTTCCGGCAGTGTGACGCATCGCACATGGCTGGATGCACTACGAGACACAAAAGAACCGGGAACTGCGAGGGACCGCGAGAGACCTCCTGAACAGCTTCTCCCAACGAAGGTGACACAAGTTCGATCGAGGAATAAAACGACGATCTGTCCTGTATTAATCGTCACAACTGCGGATTTTGGCGGCTAGAATCTCGATGGACTTCAAGCAATTCAGCCAGAGTTCTGGCGGTTTTGGGCTGATCAAACACCCTTCAAGTTTTCAAGCTCCTACGGTTATCATATATGATCACTGTTGCTGCTGCTGATCCACTCTGGTGCAGGCTGATACTGTGCTGTACCTACCCATCATCTCCCTTCCCTTCTCATCCCACCCAACTACCCTTTCCACCATGGCCGTGTGCCGCGGCCGCCGAACGCGTGGAGGAGAAGCAAGGTGACTGGTTGTTGCCATGATCGTAATGTCATAACATCACAGGCCAACTGCATCCATCCGCCGATGCTTGTCACAATTTTAATCGAACGGTTTTGGAATGCTGAAGCTGGGACTCGATAACATATTTGGTAAAAAAAAGAAAAGTACGGTCACTGCAAAGGGTGTTTTCACGCGACTGATAAAACGTTTCACGTAATCAGTCACTATCAAGCGGTAAAAAAAAACGAGAACGGTCATAGATGAAACTCCCGCCAAAACAAAATGAAACCTCAAAAGAACCTGGATGCATTTTCGGATGAATCAACCCTAAACACGTAACTCGCCAGGTGTTTAGGGTTGATCCGTTCCCAAACCGCGTCCGATTCTGATCGGGTTTTAGTTTTTTTTTAAAGAAGTTAGCAGATTTGTTGGGCGCGAGCGGGAACTTTGTTGAGTTTCAAGTTTTTTTGGTGGGAGTTACATGTGTGACCATTCGCGTGATTTTATACCATTTTATTTTTCCATTCACGTTACCGAGTCCCAAGTTGGTTACTTATGGCATATTTTCCCGTCAAATCGCCTGGTTTCGTGGAAATCGGATTGTCATGTCATTCGGATTGATCGCATACTATACAGTGCTTTCCAGAGTCGTTAGACAATGTGATCAACTGCTAAATGGCTTACAGCATAAGAAAATATAGCAAAAAGGATATAGTAACTATAGTTACAAGAAAATATATGTATGCAATAGTAGAAAATTATAACATTAACTTCTGATTTTTGTCGTTAATAATCAGACCATAATAAGCTATTACCACTAAGAACACTAGCTATCCGAGTAGATGGATTTTTCAAATTGACTTTGACCGATTCTTCACATCCCACTTCGTTTTTCCATTCCCTCTCTAAGATTTGAACTACTGGTGTATTTTTTTTTTGTGAAGCATGATAGCTCTTTACGAAGCACACTCATCTCGCAACCAGATGCAATGGCGCTTGAACCTTGAAAATGTATTCCTTGTGACGCTGAGAGTCTGCCAGACCTATCGTTCCAGGAAAACACGGAAGCTCCTTGCGGAAAGCGCGCTGCGCTCAAGTGCTGGGAGTATGTGCACGTTCTAACACTTCCATTGCTTGATTTTTGCTGCGTAATGTCTTGAAACAGCCTATTATCTTGTGAATATATAACCTAGTTCTCTTAGTGCCGTAATCTTACGGTTTTCATTCACCAGTTTACCGGTTTTTTTGCCACTTCTGTTACTTCTCAGCACACTTTCTTTAACTCTCCAACTTGCTGAACAGAATTTTGTTCCATCGCCTCCGCCTCGTGTCTCTTTGAAGTTCTTCTCTCCATTCGCCAGCCTGCTCTTTAGATCTGTCAGAGGGTTCGCACCTTCTGGTTGAGCCGCTATGCCTTCTGAGCCGTTGGATTCAAGCCAGCCGTCAGATCGCAACCGTTCACCTGACGCCACTAATTCTGGCGGGGTGGGTCCTCACCGTTGCAACGATCGACTGGAGGACGTCATTCAGGCAAATCCCCCTCTCCTTACCATCGCCTGAAAGACGTCATTCAGACACGACAGCTTCTTTCCCTGCTTTTCTGACCGTTGTTGTTCGCATCATTCCATTATCCGGCAGTGACCTCCTGTGATTGAAGCTCCAACTCCTACCTCCTCCATGTCCCACTTCTACCGTGCTTATCCAATTTCACCGGGATCTTCTATTTTCTGTCCACGACAACCCGCCTGTCCATTGATAAGGGGGAGGTCCAACTTGAAAAAAAAACCTTCACTTATTGCTGTCCCCTCCATTCGTTGCTGTCCCCTCCATTCGTTGCTGTCCCCTCCATTCGTTGCTGTCCCCTCCATTCGTTGCTGTCCCCTCCATTCATTGCTGTCCCCTCCATTCATTGCTGTCCCCTCCATTCGTTGCTGTCCCCTCCATTCATTGCTGTCCCCTCCATTCATTGCTGTCCCCTCCATTCATTGCTGTCCCCTCCATTCATTGCTGTCCCCTCCATTCGTTACTGTCCCCTCCATTCATTGCTGTCCCCTCCATTCATTGCTGTTCCCTCCATTCATTGCTGTCCCCTCCATTCATTGCTGTCCCCTCCATTCATTGCTGTCCCCTCCATTCATTGCTGTCCCCTCCATTCATTGCTGTCCCCTCCATTCGTTACTGTCCTCTCGCCTCATTCCTGTCCTGATCAGGGTCTGTTTGAGGGGAACTGGAGCGCCAACCTCAAGAAGCCTCTTCATCTGTTCTTTCAGTGCATCCGCTCCAAACCAGGGTACGAGTGTATGACTATGCTGCACTTCAGGGTATGAGCGCGTGGCTGTGCTGCAGGATATTGAAATCAGCAACTCTTAGCAACGACATTCATTTTGTAAATTACCATAGCAGTCAATCAAATTACCATAGCAGTCAATCAAATTACCATAGCAGTCAATCAAATTACCATAGCAGTCAATCAAATTACCATAGCAGTCAATCATATTACCAGTGATTGCATGGCCGGCTTTGCCTCATTTTGTCATCGTTCATCTTCCGTTGCCTTCATTCACAGTACTAGCCCGTATGTCTCTTACACCCTTACTCAAACATTCCCTTCAGCCCGTTGCACACACACATGACATGAGTGCAGGTCTGAACCAGCAACAAAGCCGTTCACCATTCTCAAGGCAACTCCTTGGTGCTGGTGATTTCCCTAGGATTCTAAGCTGCTTCTTCCCTTCTCGTTGCTCCGTTCCACATGAGTGCAGGTCCGAGCCGACAGAGCCGTACACCTTTCTCAAGGCAGCTCCTCCCAAGCCACATTCGAACCCCAGCTGCCAGCCGTAGCCTGCCTTACGTCCTCTCGTGCTCTCCGCCTTTCACGCTCACTGGTGTATTATCACCAGGTCAACCAGGTATCTCAGGTCAACGGGGTCAACCAGGTATCTCAGGTCAACGGGGTCAACCAGGTATCTCAGGTCAACGGGGTCAACCAGGTATCTCAGGTCAACGGGGTCAACCAGGTATCTCAGGTCAACGGGGTCAACCAGGTATCTCAGGTCAACGGGGTCAACCAGGTATCTCAGGTCAACGGGGTCAACCAGGTATCTCAGGTCAACGGGGTCAACCAGGTATCTCAGGTCAACGGGGTCAACCAGGTATCTCAGGTCAACGGGGTCAACCAGGTATCTCAGGTCAACGGGGTCAACCAGGTATCTCAGGTCAACGGGGTCAACCAGGTATCTCAGGTCAACGGGGTCAACCAGGTCTCTGAGGGAAAAGGGGTCAACCAGTATTTCAGGTCAGTGGGATCAACCAGGTCAAAGGGGTCAACGAGGTTTATCAGTCAAAAGCGGTAACAAGATCAACCGGGTCAACAGGTTCAGAAGCTGTTCACTGTGCACATTCGCTGTTCACCGTGCACATTCGCTGTTCACCGTGCACATTCGCTGTTCACCGTGCAGTGTGGTGCGCTGCGTGCGGTGCACATGCAGTGGCAGCTGCACCTTGGTCTCAAACATGCCTCTTTTTGCCGAGGGACCGCTGCTGCTGCTCGGACGTGTTCCCTGAGGGCAGCTGGTACCGTGGCTGCCATCAGTGCTGCTCATTCCTCCTTCGCTGCAGCTGCAGCTGCTTTTCCGTCTGCTCGTGGCACGGCTGTTTCCAGTTCTCGTTGCATGCTGCTGACTCTATTTGCATGTGCCCGGTCCCTAGAATTCACAACGGTTTGCTGCTCTCTCAACATGGCTTCAGCTTCTCCACCAGTCAGCCAATCAGCCGCGCTTAGAATCAAATCCCAAACATGTTCCTCCACTCCCACCCGCCACCCTGCCAACCACACCACACCAGCACTTAACTCCTTATCCCAAACCAACTGCTACAGCAGTCAGAGCTACAGAGGCAGCCATAGCCACCGCCACAGAAACTCCTTGTTTCCTGGATTCACAGGCCTTGGGTTGAGCAGTCCTACTGCTCCACTTCTGGGCAGGCGATTGACCCCTTTACGGCATGCTCGTTCGACTGTGCTTCTGGAAAGGAGCGGATCAAGTGGAGCAGTGGAAAGGGCTCTGGGAGCTAGAGGCACAACTGTAGTGAGGGGAGCACTAGGAGGTCGAGGGGCTCTTGCTGTTGCTTTGCCGGGAAGGCCTTCTCCTGTGCTGCTTGCCTGCAGCATGCGGGGGAGTTTGGCGGAGGAATTGAGCCGGGGTTGTAGCTCTAGAAGGAATGGCACTGTGGCCTGGGCCAGGGGTCGAGGCAGGGCTGCTAAGAAGGAGGAATTGGTTTGGGGGAGTGTGGAGGTGACTGCAGAAGAGGAGGCTGTAGGGGACGCGACATCAGGAGAGACAGTTGATGGTGTGATTGTAGGGAATGTGACCAGAGAAAAGACAGCCACAGAGGTGACTTTAGGGGACGTGAATGCAGAACAAGAGGCAGTAGGGGACGTGAGTGCTGAAGAGACGGTCGAAGGTGTGACTTTAAGGGAAGTGAGTGAAAAACAGACAGTTAAAGAGGTGACTGTAGGGGACGTGAGTGAAGAGAGTGGCAGTTGTACGGAAACAGAGGGCAGTCGAGCTTCAGAGGTGACTGTTTGGAAGGAGGAGGCACAGGTTATGACGGCTGGACAGGGAGCATCAGAGTTGAGTGTTTGGAGAGAGGAATCAAAAGCAGTGGTGGTTGGACGGAAAGCATCAGAGTTGAGTTTCTGGAAAGAGGAGGGAAAAGCAGTGGTTGCTGGACAGAAAGCATCAGCGGTGACTGTCTGGAAGGAGGAGGCAAAAGCAGGGATCATAGAGCAGGGAGCATTGGAGGAGCCTCACGCAGTGGTGATAGAGCAGAGAGGATTGGAAGAACACCAAACGGCGGTGATAAAGCAGAGAGCATCAGAGCTGGTTGTTTGGGAAGAGGAGGCAGAAGCACCAGTGATCGATCAGAGAGCATGGGAGAAGCATCAGGCAGCGGTGGAGGAAGCGTCGATTGGTCTGCACGACACCGACCCTGAAGAGGTCTTTGAGTGGACCCACACACCAATAAGTTCAGTCCAGCCTTTTGAACCGACTCAAACACTATGTGCGGCTGAGACAGCTTTGGTGGGTCAGCAGCAGGGCATTCAGGATCTTTCTGAGGTGTCTCAAACATGGAACGGGGGGCAGCAGCCCTGGCAACTGCAGCAGAAGCAGCAGCATCTGAAGAAGCAGTGGCAAGGGCACGGAGAGCAGCAAGAGCAGAAGGTGGGAGCTGAGGCAACGGCGGAGGCAACGGTGAAGGCAAGTGTGGAGGCAAGGGCGGAGGCAGGGTTGTTTGATATGAGTGAGCTCGTTCAAGCTGTGGCGTTTGAAGCTGAATCGGATTTTTCGAATGCCCAAGGCGACAGGAGCAGGTGAGACCTCCCTCGCCCAGAGATGCTCGTTGAAAGATGCAAGGCGTGAAGAGGAGCGTCAAGCTTGAAACAATTCTGGATCAAGTTTCTACCCAAGTTCGAGTCAAGCTTGCCTTGAGGTTTAACCAAGCTTGAATTAGGTGTGAGTCAAGCTCAGTGAAGCTCCACACTTTCCAAGCCTGGTGAACCAAGCCTGGTGAACCAAGCCTGGTGAACCAAGCTTGGTGAACCAAGCCTGGATTACAGCATGTCATCTACTCTCTTGTCATCCCTCCTGCTCACCCTACTTGCTCCTTTTCCTGATAACCAATCAGCTTTCACCAGTATCTTGAGTCGGTGCACGAGAAGATGACACGTCAGCAGCTGAGTGCCTCGCTGGAAGTGCAGCAGGTGGTGGGATGGGCAGGAGTGAACTATGACATGCTGCTGCCACACGTGCGCAGGCAGCGCCTGGAACCGGTGAGATGTGTTTGAATTTCCATGTTTTTGCCACGACATGACTTCATCTCACAGTGCAGCCTCAAGAGTGAACCACTGCATTCTGTGTTAACGAACAGCCACTCTCAGTTGTCGCAAATCCGCTGCCCGTTCTTCCCTCGCTCCCTTGCGCAATCGCAATCACACTGGCAGATCTCCCGGGCTCTTGGGTACTCGGACACGCAGCATCTGCTGGAGCACTACAAGGCCGTTGATGAAGCCATGAGCGAATTGGATAGTTTCGGGCATAGCGGAGGAGAGGAGAGCGTGAGCTTTGAGTCGACTCAAAACACGCAGCATCTGGTGGAGCACCACAGGGCTGCTGATGAAGCGATGAGAGGATTGGAGAGTGAGGAGATTTGGGAGCATAGCAGAGAGGAGAGCATGGGTTTTGAGTCGACTCAAAAGATGCAGCATGTGTGGGAGCACCACAGGGCCTCTGTGGAGGCATTGGGATGGGAGAGTGAGGAGATGGTGGGGCATAGCGGAGGCGAGAGCATGGAGCGTGCGAGGGAGGAGAGGGCAAACGAAGCAATGGGCGAACTCCTTTCCTCGCTGCCTCAAGCACCACTTCCATCACCGCCCATGCACACCCCATCCCCATCCCCATCCCCATCCCCATCCTCATCAACCATACCCCAGTGGCAGCACTCTCCCCGCGTCTCTCTCCTTTCCCGAGCGTCACCACGTCCTGCCCGCACTTCTCCTCCCACGTCAGATTCCAGTGCAAAGATAGAGGCTCGGCAAGCAGCAGCACGAGCCGCACCAATAGCATCACCAGGAGCAGCTGCATCACCATTAATACCAGCAGCATCAGCACCAGCAGCGCGACCATCACCATCGCCAGCAGCACGACCAGCAAGAGCAGCTGGAGGGACGTGGCGCAGGCAAGCAGATGCGGCACGGCATGATGTGCCTGGAAGGGCGGTGTGGGGAGGAGGAGATGTGCAGAGTGACAGAGTGGGAGCGGGCTGGAGTGGCTCTAGGGAATCAGAGTTGGGGAAAGCAGGCGAAGCAGATCCTTTAGTGCAGCAGTGGTTCGGTACTGCTCAGTCAAGTAAAAACACTGTTGCGGAGGAGCTGAACGGGAGTCAAACTGGAGCCAGCTTGACTTTTGAGAGCAGCAGTGGCTCCTCTCAGTCCCGAAACTCACAGTCATCAGCGCAGCAGCCGTTTGGTTCCACTCAGTCTAATGTGGAGCCACACGTAGAAAGTAGATGTGGAGTCACACGTCTCAAAACTAATGTGGAGCCACACTGGAGCCAAACAGGAGCCAAACCGCACTCCCCGCAGCGCTCTCAGTCCACTCCCACCTCCCCTTCCTCTCTGTCTGCTCCTGCTGCCGATCCTGCCCATTCTGTCCGTTCTGTTTATTCTGCTCCGTCTGCTGATTCTACTCCTATGCAGTCGGAGTGGCAACGACGTGCCACTGCCATGCGTGCTGCTGCTGCTCTTGCCCGTGCTGCCACACCCGCCACCACCACTCCCCCCACCACTGCCACCAACCCCACCACGCCCGCCACCTCTGCCACTCCTCCTCATCCGTCCTCTCACCCTCCAGTCCCTCCTTCCACGCCTCCTTCCTCTGTTGCCCCTGCTTCTCTCCCTTCTTCTGCTCCTCCCATCTCCGTCTCTAGTCGTCCCAGTCCTTCCCATTCCCACACACAAGCACCGTCCGCTCCCTCCTGGCCTGCAGACACGCACAGCCCATGGTCCCCCTGGAATCATCGGGGCACTAGCACTCAGCAAGAAGCACCGCGAGTCTTCACTGCGAGGCACGAGGCAATCCAAGCCAGCAGTGTGTTTGAGTCGATTAAAACAGAGCAAGAAACAACGCCGCTTGTATCCACCACAACTGTGAGGCAGGATGTAATTCGAGCCAGCGGTGTAGGGCAGGGAGCAGGCCATGTTATGGCGCAGCAGGTAGAGTGGTCCTCCGTGAGAGAGGGTCACAGGGTGGGTCGTCATTCCGAAGCTGATTCTGCGACCCATCCTGCCGTGGCTGCCCTGCTGGCTCGGTGGCGCCAGACCCATTTTGGCTCGGTCTGCTTCGAGGACCGGCCGGAGCTGAAGCTGCCGAGCCTGGTTCGAAATGCTGTTGGGGCGGAGACCCGGGAAGGAGGTTTGGGGGTTGTGGCTGTGGTGCAGGGAGGAGAGGAGGGGAGGATGGGAGAGGAAGGTGGAGGTGTGAGTGGTTTAAGGGGGTTTGGAGGGGTTGATTTGGAGGACAGTGATTGGATAGAGGGAAGGGAGGATGGGGAGGAGGTGGAGGAAGAGGAAGGAGAAGAGGAGGAAGGAGGGTATGAAGATTTCTATGTGGTAGGCAGCGAGGAGGAGGAAGAAATCCTTGATGCATTTTTACAGGAGGAGGGTTTCGGGTTTAGGATGGTAAAAGAGGAAGAGGAGGAGAACAGTGATGTTGCAGTGGTATCTGTGGACGCATGGGAGGCAGACAGCCTGGCGACAGCCACAGGCAGGGCGAAGAGGGGACGGAGGAAGAAGACAATGGAAGCCAGTGGGGGGGCTTGGGATACCCCAGGCACGAGTTCCGCCTCACATGTAGTCAATGCAGAAGAAGGGCCGGTCATGCCGTTAGCTAGTAGCACAGCAGGTGTCGTGGTGGATGGGGATGCAGCGGCGGATGGGGATGCAGCAGATCGTGCCGCAGCAGAGATGGCATGGCTGGACATGACTCTAGGGAGTGCAGACGGAGCAGCTGAAGCACCAGCCTCACACGGCGCGGCAGCAGCAATAGAGGAGCGCGTGAGCTGGCTGGAGACCCCACTGAGGAGCCTGGCTCGGCGGGGTGGAGGCGTGCTGACGCCGGGGCAGAGGGAGAAGCTGGAGAAGGCCGGGATGTGGACGGTGCGGCACCTGCTGGAGCATTACCCTCATACCTACAAGGACCTCACGTGTAGCAGAGAGGATGTGATGCGGGATGGACAGGTGGCTGCTGTTGGCGTGGTGGAGAGCGTCAGGTGAGTAGTTGGGCTGGGTGGGACGGTAGTTGAATGGGTGCGACATGGCTGGTTGGACAAGCCTGCTTGTGGAGAAGTGAGGCCAAGTGACAAGTTTGTTTCTGCATGTGCGTCTTGGGTCAACTCAAACAGACCAAGAAGCCTGCTGTGCGTGTCATGGCGATTGCTCTGAACAAGAGAATTTATGTGTCGTCGAGAACCTTACCTTGCTTATTTCATGCATCCGTTGTCATTCTCTGCCTCACATGCAACCGTGTGTGTACGTACTGCCCCTCTCCTTCCTCTCTTGCATGTGTCTGTGTGTGCCCATCTGCACTTCCCCACTCTGCACCTCCCCACTCTGCACCTCTCCACGCCCATCTGTACCTCTCCGCACCCATCCTCACCGCAGTGTGAGCGCAGCGAGAGGTGGGTCGTGTGCGGTAGCTGAGCTTCGAATCCGCTGCAATCCACCTGACAGCGCCGCCACCACACGCAACACCGATTCCCCCCCCAGCACCACAACCAGCAAACCCAGATTCAGCAACCCCAAATCTACCAGCAGCAGTGGCAGCAGTGGCAACAGCGGTGGGGGGTTTGTGGTGACAGCGAAGCAGTTCCGCGCTGGGAGCTGGGCTCGGACGTCTCTCTACTCCGCCTACCCTCAGGGCTGCCTCGTCTCTGTCACTGGCCAGGTGGGTGGTGGGTGGGGCGTAACTGGCCAGGTGTGACCTGGTGCCTGGGCTGGGGGCACGGGGGTAGGGGCAGGTGTGTTTGTGGTGACAGCGAAGTGGCTCGCGCTGGTCGCTGGGGTCGGAGATTTCTTTACGCTGCCTACCCCAAGGCTGTCTCGTCTCTGTCACTGGCCAGGTGCGACCTGGTGCTTTGGAGCAGGGAGGTAGGGGCAGGTGAGTGGATGGATGGGGGCGCGTGGTAGAATTTTATAATTGACTTGAGATCACTGGCAAGGTGTGACTTGGCTCTTGGGGGCACCAAGGTATTAACAGTACTGCTGGGGCCAGGTGGGGGCAGGTGGGTGGGAGCACGTGGGTGGGGATGTGGGGGCGGGTGGGTGTGCCAGCTGTTCTGCCTGTCTTGGATTGTATCTGTTGTGCTGGGATGGGACCAGAGCAGCGGCAAGCAGCAACCCTTCAGACCCTTTTGTGAGGCGCCTCAAAACTCCGCCGCTGTGGGTATCTGTCGTGTTTGGATGGGATCAGAGCAGCGGCAAGCGGCAACCCACAAGACCCTCCTCCTCCCCGTTTCCTGCACCCAACCACTACCCCCTCCCCGCTTCCCTTCACCCCCTCAAGTGAGGGCTATGCATGGGGGTAGAAAAAGCCAGACGCCTCAAGAATTTCTCACCCCTCCGCTCGGCCCCTTCAGGTAAAGGCTGTGCGGGGCGATGGGACCTTCAAGCTGGATATGAACAGTGACAAGCAGAGATCCTCAGCACACTTTCACCCTCCCAGAACCCATTTACTCCTTCCCCACCTCTTCACCCTTTCAGGCGAAGGCAATGCAGGGCGATGGGACGTTCGAGGTGCACATGAACAGTGACACGCAGGCAAGGAGCCTCAACACCCTCCTCACCTACCCCACTCCCATCAGCTCCTCATGCCCCTCCCCTCGCCCCCCTCAGGTGAGGGCAGTGCAGGGCGATGCGGCCTTGGAACTGGGCTGGACAAGAACAGCGACAAGCAGGGAGCCTCAAGTTCTCAAGCCCATCTGCTTCTCGTTTCCCCCCCCTCTCTCCCTCCCTTCACCTACTCAGGTGAGGGCAGTGCAGGGCGATGGGACGATCGAGCTGGACATGAACAGTGACATTGTGAAGGTGGATGCAGGCGGTAGCAGGGGGGACGGTGGTGCTGTGCCGGTGTATTCAGCCAGGAAGGACATGGACCCTCTCTCCCTGCGCGTCATCCTGGAAAGGTGGGTGTTATTCTGCGTTGCTGTAGTGCTCTTGCTGGGTGTGCATACACTTGGTGTGGATGGGGGGGGGGGGGGGGGGGGGGGTAGTAGAGGGGAGGGTGCTGTGGCGGTGTATTCAGCCAGGAAGGTCATGGACCCTCTCTCCCTGCGCGTCATCCTAGAAAGGTGCGACTCACCTGTTCCTGTGGTCTCTCCATTGCATAGTGCTGCTGCTGGGTGTGCATGCAGTGGGTATAGGCATGGGATGATGCTACACTGGTGTGCTCAACCCCCCACTTTCTCCCCTCCCCCCTCTTCCCCCTCCCACCACAGTCTAATCAAGCTCATCCCTCAGGACATGGAATACCATTCCCCCTCCCTCCGCGCGCGCTACAACCTCCTCCCGCTCCCCCTCGCCCTCGCCACCATCCACTGCCCGTCTGACCGCGCTCTCGTTCCCCTTGCCCGGCGCCGCATCGTCTTCGACGAGTTCTTCTTCTACCAGCTCCGCATCCTGCTGCAGAGCCGGCGAATCAAACTCGGCCACCTGGCATCCGCAGCAGCAGCCGCAGCAGCAGGAGCCTCCGGAGGGGGAGGAGGGACCATCGAGTGGACCCGCAGAGATCTGACGGCCGAACAGTGGTCCCCACTCACGCAGGAAATTCTTTCCAGCCTGCCCTATACTCTCACCGCCGGGCAGATGCAGGCTGCCCGGGAAATAATCTCCGATATGAATTGGCCGGTGCCAATGTCGAGGCTGTTGCAGGGGGATGTGGGGTGTGGGAAAACGGTGGTGGCGCTACTGGCATGCATGGAGGCAGTGGCGCATGGGTATCAGGTGGCTGTGATGGCTCCCACTCAGTTCCTCGCCCAGCAGCACGTGGCACGGTTTGAACTGTGGCTCCAAGCGCTGCCGCCTGATCGCCGCCCGAGGGTTTGCCTGCTGACTGGGAGTGTGAAGCGGGCCAAGGCACTGCGGCTGGTGAGTGAGCGTCGTGAGAGAAAACTTAGAGTTCATTCTGGAAAGCGAGTCATTGTTGTTGTGAGGGTTCGCGTTTGAGTTGAATCAGAAGCAGATGACATAGAGTTCATTCTCAAATGCGAGTCATCATCGTTGTGAGATTTTCTGTAGAATTCTCGAAAGTGCGTCCTCAGCACTCGCACTTCCATTTCCCCGCTCGTTTCAAATGCTCGGTGCATTTGCTGATGATGATTGCCACTCTGCACCTTATCTCTCTCTCTCAGGACATCAAGGAGGGCAGGGTGGGTATTATCATCGGCACACATGCCCTCATAGCCTAAACCTCATGTTGTCGCAGCACCTCACTTCCTTTCCCGTATTCGCTGCACCTAATCTATCCAAGAGGACATCAAGGAGGGCAGGGTGAGCATCATCATCGGCACGCAGGCGCTCATTGCTCGAGCCACGGCCTTCCACCGCTTCACTTGCTTGCTGCACGCACCCTTGCCCCGCTATTGCCCCTCTTACGTTTACCGTCCCCGATTCCCCATCAACAGGACATCAAGGAGGGCAGGGTGAGCATCATCATCGGCACGCATGCACTCATTGCTCGGGCCACGGCCTTCCACCGCCTGGGGCTGGCCATAGTGGACGAGCAGCACCGCTTCGGGGTGAAGCAACGTGCCAGGCTGCACGAGAAGGTGGGAGAGCGTGCTGAATTCGGTTGGCTGTGTTGTCTCAGATGTGAGGTGAATTGTGTGCACCGCATCAGGGTACGGCCTTCCACCACCTGGGGCTGGCCATTTTGGACAAGCAGCACCGCTTTGGGGTCAAGCAGCGGGCAAGGCTGCACGAGAAGGTGGGAGGAGAGAGTGGGCTGAGAGTCAGATGGAGTTGTGCGTGTGCGTCTCTCTGTCTCTCTGTCTCTCTGTCTCTCTGTCTCTCCGTCTCTCTGTCTCTCCGTCTCTCTGTCTCTCTGTCTCTCTGTCTCTCTGTCTCTCTGTCTGTCGCCCTTCCACCGCCTGGGGCTGGCTGTTGTGGAGCGAGCAGCACCGCTTTGGGGTCAAGCAGCGGTCGAGTCTGCACGAGAAGGCGGGAGGGAGTGACTGTGTGAGATTGGATGGGCAGGCGGGTTGTCCAAAAACGACTTCTGAGGCGCCTCAAAAATAGGCAGGCGGGTTGTCCAAAAACGTTTGCATCAGTGGATTGGTTGGGCCGTTGGTTCAAATGTGAGTTGAATAGTGTTTCATGCTGGCACGGATACCTCACTGCTAAAGTTGCCTCTTTCCATCCTCTCCCCCACTCCACTTCTATGTTCCCTGCAGGGCTTGATGCACCCCACATCTCACGCATCCACATCCTATCTCCCCCACTGGTGATCCCTGCAGGGCCTTGACACGCTTCGGCAGCAGCAGGAAGCCATCGACAGAGCAGCGATACAGAGGGACAGAGGACGCTATTGAATCTGGAAACGTCGCTTCATCCCCCTCCGCCCTCCCACTCCTCTCGGAGCCCCACACGCTCACCATGACCGCCACCCCCATCCCGCGCTCCCTCGCCCTCGCGCTGCACGGCCACACCCGCAGATTCCCTTGCAGCCACACCGCACGCATCCTCCCACTTTTTTTCCCCCGGTAATCCCTGCAGGGCCTGGACGCACTTCGACAGCAGCAGGAAGCCAGCGACAGTAGCGACACAGAAGATGCTTCTTCCTCCTCCTCTTCGTCCTCCGCCCTCCCTCTTCTCTCGGAGCCCCACACGCTCACCATGACTGCCACCCCCATCCCGCGCTCCCTCGCCCTCGTGCTGCACGGCCAAAGCGACATCTCACGAATCGCTGAGCTGCCGCCCGGACGCACGCCGGTGAAGACTCTTGTCTTTTATGACCGGGACGGGAAGGGCGGCAGCAGTGGGGATGAGAGTGAGGGGGAGGAGGAGGAGGGGAAGGAGAGGGCTGCAGCTTACAAGGTAAGTCATAGGGGGTAGAAGGGGGAAAGGACGGGGAAGAAGGGAGGCGAAGAGAGGGGGGGGGATGGTGGGGAGGAGGGGGTTTTGGTTCGAGCCATGTTTTCTGAATTTCATGCGATTGCAAGAGTTTATGGCTTATTATTGCAATTGTGACTCTCGCTGTCTCGTGGCATCGGGGAGTGTGACTTCCTCGATTGTTCTGCACATTCTTTGCGGCAAGGTGCAGTCGGGCTTGAGACCATTCAGATCGCCTTCCCTATCTTTCCTTTTCCCTCGTTGCTCCCCTATCTTTCCTTTTCCCTCGTTGCTCCCCTATCTCTCAATTCCCCCCCCCCACCCGTGCCCTCAACTCTGCGGTGCAATCGGGTGCTTCATTCTTCTCCCCAATCATCAACGCTTCATTCTTCTCCCCAATCATCAACGCTTCATTGCCCCTGTTCCCCCCATCTCCCCTTTGCCCTCCCCTATACCCCGTTTCCCCCCCCACCCCCCATTACATACACCTCAACTCTGCCCCCAGATTCTCCGTGAAGAGGTGCAATCCGGCGGGCGGGCTTTCATCGTCTTCCCCATCATTGATGCCTCAGAGGAGCTCCCGGAAGTGCGGGCAGCCACGGAAGAATTTCAGCTGCTGACCGAACCAGGCGGGCTGCTGGGCACTGCATTGATTGATGGCAGTAGTGCTGCTGCCCGACAAAAGCGGCCGCGCCGTCGCAGTGAATATAGCCGGTTTGAGCTCTGCGAGATTGATAATTCTACAGATGGTGTCTACAACGGGTATGATACAGACCAGTATAACTGCGAGCTGGATGCGACGTATGGTGATCAGTCAGACGTCGAAGACTACAGCAGTGATGAAGACGATGAGGAAGAAGAAGATGATGATGGTGATGCTGTTGGTTATGGTTCAGAGGGGGCAGAAGTGCTGCGCTGTGGGCTCGTGCATGGCCGCATGGAACCGGAGGAGAAGGAGGGAGTCATGCGCAGCTTCCAAGAAGGATCCATACAGGTGCGCTTGATTTGGTTGGGGTTTGTGGTTGGAGTTTGGTGCAAGGGGTTGTCAGATGTGGTTGGGTTTGGAGTTAGGGGTTTAGGGTTTGTTGTTGGGGTTAGGGGTTTTGGGGTTAAATTTGAAGCTTGGGGCTTTGGCTGGTCCAAAACCCTTTCTATTGTAAGCGCATTGCAGGTGCTTGTGTGCATGACTGTCATAGAGGTCGGGATCGAAATCCCCAAGGCAATGGTGATGTTGTGGTGGAGCATGCAGAGCGATACGGCTTGGTGCCGAACAATGCCACTCGACATGCTGAACTGACGTTTCCCTTCCTCCTGTATGCGTTGCAGGTGCTTGTGTGCACGACCGTCATAGAGGTGGGGATAGACATTCCCGAGGCGACAGTGATGTTGGTGGAGCATGCGGAACGGTACGGTTTGGCGCAGCTGCACCAGCTGAGGGGGCGTGTGGGCAGAGGGCAGCGCCCCTCGCGGTGCCTGCTGGTGGGCAGCAGTAAGGGCGCGCGGCACAAGCTGAAGCTGCTGGAAACGTCAAACGTGTGTACAGGGAAAGGGTGGGGCGGGCAGAGCAGGGTGTAGGTGTGCGCGTGTGTGTTCCTGGGTGTGTGTGTGGGGAGAGGGCAGCGCCCCTCGTGCTGCCTGCTGGTGGGGAGCAGTGAGATCACGCGGCACAAGCTGAAACTGCTGGAAACGTCACAGGTGGGTGTGGGGGGGCAGGATGTGCATCTACCCCTGTGTCTGTGCCTGTGTCTGCACGCGTGTGTGTCTGTGGGGAGAAGGCAGCAGCACCCCTTAAGCCGCTTGCTGCTGGTCTGTCCTGTCCTGTCCCTCGCCTTTTCTTGCAGGACGGCATGGAGTTGCCTCAGATGGATCTCATGTTGCGACTAATGAGGCACCTCAAAAGTCGGCCTTGAGCTGGCCCAGCTGGAGCCTAGGCCTCAAGAAAGATGCGCGTTGTGAGACGTCTCAAAAAACGTCTCAAAGTTTAGAGATGTCTCAAATTTCGAGACGTCTTAAACCCGGCTTCGAGTTGGCCCAGCTGGAGCCTGCCTGGCCCTCAAGATGTGCAGGCCGGGGGAGCTGCTGGGAGGAACTTCAGGTGCCTTAAAGTGCCAAATTCACCATTATGTGCGCCTCTTTCCCAACCCTACACCCATCAGTACAGCATGGAGTTGGCCCAAATGAATCTCAAGTTGCTAGGGGCGGGGTAGCTGCTGGGAAGCAAGCAGAGTGCGCTCTTTTACAGGCAACGCGTCTCTTTCAGGCGCCTTGTACCAGCACCTGCCCGTCTTCCCCATCCGCCCCTCCACCAACCTCTTGCTCCCATCAGGACGGCATGGAGTTGGCTCAGATGGACCTCAAGATGCGAGGCCCGGGGGAGCTGCTGGGAAGCAAGCAGTCGGGGCGGCTGCCGGGATTCAACCTGGCGAGGCTGGACCGTGATGTGGACATTTTGAACGAAGCCATGCAGGCTGCTGAGGTGCGGGGGGGCTGTAAGGGAAAGAGAGACACTGGGTGTTCATTGGGATTCAACCTGGCTCGGCTGGACCGTGATGTGGACATTATGAACGAAGCAATGCAGGCCGCTGAGGTGTGTAGAGTTTGTTAAGGTAAAGGCTGGACCGTTGGGGTGTTGGGATTCAACCTGGCTCGGCTGGACCGTGATGTGGACATTTTGAACGAAGCCATGCACGCTGCTGAGGTGCGTGGGGGGTGGTAAAGGGCCCCGAGGTGTTAATGGGGGCTGTTCATTGGGGTTCAATTTGTTAATGCTGGAGCGTGATGTGGGCAGCTGAAGTGAGAAGAGGAAGCTTTGGGGTGTTAGTGGGGGGCCCTGGGATGTCGGTGTGCAGGAAGTTTTAGGGTTCAACCTGGTGCGGCTGGAGCGTGATGTGGCCATTCTGAGCCATGCCGGGTGGGCCAGTACGGGCCGCTGAGGTGAGTGGCGTTGGGCGGGAAGGGGGTGGGGGGAGGGGAAGGGGAAGAGGGTGGTGTGGTGATGACTAATGGCGACTGAGGCCAGAGACGTAGGGTTTGTTTTGAGACGTCTCAAAACTAGACGTAGGGTTTGTTTTGAGACGTCTCAAAACTAGACGTAGGGTTTGTTTTGAGACGTCTCAAAACTAGACGTAGGGTTTGTTTTGAGACGTCTCAAAACTAGACGTAGGGTTTGTTGGGATTCAAGCTCGTGCGTCTGAACCGCAATGTGGACGTTTTGGAAGATGCAAGATGGGCCGCTGAGGTGTGTGAATGGGTGAATGGGTGAATGTTTGAATGGACGTGCAGAAGGGAGTGTGCGAGGATGAGGGTTCTTCTTGAGGTGCTGCTTTATGATTGGCTGCAGGTGGTTGTCTGAATGGGTGATTTGCCCTTATTGTCAATTATTGCCCCAACTCCTTGTCAGAGCAGCATCAAATCTTTGGTGGGCCAACCAAAGTTCTCATGGGAAACTTGTGTCTATCTTTCCTGTGATTGTGATCCCATGGTAACCATGTGCTGTCGAATGGCCTGTACAGGAGGTGGCTGAAGCAAGTAAACCCCCTGGGAAGATGGACCCTGCTTTGGATCAGGAGCTTCGGATTCGAAACCATTCGTCTGCTTCTACGCACTGATAGGTTAAGGTTAGCGAAGAGAATTATGCATGACAGTCTTCTGTTCCTGGATATCTCTTTCTAGTGCGGATGCCCTTGTGTGCCCCGGCTGAAGGGAAGGCAGGGGCTGGAGATTTAGTGGAACAGGGGATGCTCATAGTGACAGCCGAGGGGCGGGTACCCATATGGGACGCTACGAAGGAGCCGGTGGAAGTGGTGATGCTGCTAGGAGATGGCTTTTGAGTCGTCTCTGTTGAGATAATATCGAGACTTATGCACTTCAAGGAATTCGTGTAGTATAGTTAGTACAGTAAAAGTACCGATAGACTGACGTCAGCAAAGCGCTACGCGCCCTAGGATGACGTCATCAGTAGCTGTAGGTATCGCGAATAGTCACGTACCTTTTCAGAACAGGAATAGCGCGAATAAATACAGCACAGTAGGCGAACAGGTACTTTATTTCTAGCTATATATTCTGTATCCTTGTCATTTTATAATATACTTGATTTCAGAGACTTTTGATCCTGTTACAAGTCACTCATATAAAGACTTCCACTGCTACAGGAAGCTACTATCCTAAGACTAAGATCCTATTCAAACAGTTCAAATTCTAACAGTCTCAAAGTACGACTTTTGATTCGTCTCTGAAATAATGACAGCCGAGGGGGGACACCCGAATGGATGCCCTGTGCAAAGGAGCCGGTGGAAGTGGCAATGCTACTGGGAAGTGCTTAAGAGACCAGGATACGGGTACAGCTTGGTTAGAGGGATGGCTGGCAGTGTTAGTAGATCTGCACTGTGGATGCCCGATTGATCCTAAGGGGGGTTACAGGCCCGTTCGCCTGGGGGTTATGGGCGCACAAACTGTCAGAATAACTGTGCAGGAATGAATGAACTATGAATGAGTTGGGTACAAGTACTAACCCTAAAGTGTAGTACCCCTTGTAGGCTAATCCACTATAGCCTAGAGAGAACACAAACATACAGTTTGACACACCCCAATAGGCTAAGTGGGAGAGAGCAAACACAACAGACGGCCACAAGACTAGTCAAGCAAGATAACAAGCAAAGCAAAACTCAAGGTGGATCTCAAGGACACCACACAATCTGAGCACAAGCAAGCGGCCACAAGGCCAATTCACATGCAGAGTTATAATAGCAAGGCAGTACACTGATCACAGCCTAGCAAGAGGAAACAAGCAGGTATAAAGATATATATCAGTGTACAATAAGAGCAAGTCAAGCAACCAAGAGGTGAGGCAGAGTGGGCACAAGCCCAAGAGCAGTGCAGAAACGCTGATGATCACCAGACCCAAGGGCCTTGGTGAACACATCAGCAGTGTTGGCCCGCGAGGCCACGTAGGAAAGGCGGAGCTGACGACGCTGCTGCAGCTCACGCGCAAGGAAGTAACGAAGAGCAATGTGCTTCGTTATGTGCTCCAGTTTTCGCGACACAAGGTAAGCAGGTAGGTCAGCCAGCGTAGCTCCTGTGCAGCCATTTCCCCAGCGTAGATCTTGGCCTCACAGCTGGAACCAAGCACAGAAGAAGAACGAGTGGACCTCCACGAGACAGAACCAGAGCCAAGACTAAAGGTGTAACCCTGTGATGAACGCTGAGTCGCCTGGTCGTCGGCCCAAGAAGCGTCGGATTGTCCTGTGAGTACCACTGAACCACGTCCTCCAAGCACGAGCACCATGCCCGATGTACTGCACAAGTAACGCAGTACCCTCTTCGCAGCATCACAGTGCACCTTTCGGTGTCTATCGAGAGCCACGTAGTGAGCCAGGAGGCTGAGAGGGTACGCGAGGTCAGGTCGTGTGCACGTCATCAGGTACATGAGGCAACCCACAAGCTCTGGGTACGGACCACTCGGCTCTACGGACTCGTCTGAAGGTGGAGCTGAGAGCGAGTGGCCGGTAGACAGAGGAGTGGGCTGTGGCGAGGAGAACTCGAAGCCGAAGCGCTGAAGAACCTCGTGCACCATGTGTGACTGAGTCAGGGTGATGGTGCGCCGTGTTTTGTCCCGGGTGATCTGCAAGCCAAGATAGCTACGCAGCTCACCCAGGTCAGTGCAGGTGTGTCTCTCCTGCAGCTCCGCCTTCACTAGGGACAGCGCCTCAGTGTCAGCAGTAGCAAAAACCAAGTCGTCGACGTACACGAGAACGTAGAACGGCGGCAGGGTAGTGTCGGTGCGTAGAAACAGCGACGGGTCAGCATAGGAAGGAGCAAACCCAAGAGCCGCAAGTGTAGTCCTCAGTGTGTCGTGCCACTCTCGGGGCGCCTGGCGGAGACCGTAGACTGGCCGCCGGAGTCTCCACTGGGTACCCGCTAGAAACGACCCAGTGAAGCCAGGTGGGCGGCGCAGCCAGATCTCCTCGTGAAGGCTGTCCTGCAAGAAAGCTGTGGAGAAGTCGAGGGAGTGCAGCTCATAGTCACGCTGTGCTGCAACGTGCAGCAGCACCCGAAGAGTATTCATCTTCGGGTTGGGGGAGAAGGTATGGAAGAAGTCGACCCCGTGTCGCTGACTGAAGCCTCGAGCAACGTAACGCGCCTTGAAGGCAGGCGGGGCCGCTTCACTCTAAAAATCCACATGCCATCGACTATGTTCGCCCCAGGAGGAGGAACCTCGTCAACGTAGGTGCCTGTGGACTTCCAGGAAGCCATCTCTGCGTCCATGGCTGTCTGCCACTGAGAGGAGTACTCACCCGCGATCGCCTCAGCGTAAGAGCGCGGGGTAGGGATGTCAAGTGCATCCAGGTCTCCCTCAGGGCAAAGCAGCACGGATGCGAAACGAGGTAAAGCGGCCGCAAGACACTCAAGCTCAAACTGTCTGTCCTCACGTACGTCACAGCCAAGGGCAAGCTCACCCCCGGCGAACAATGGACAGACAGACTCAGACTCAGTGACAAGACTCGCGACGTAGTCGAGACGACTCCTAGCTGCAAAGTCGACTAGCTCAGTGACTAGGGAAAACGCTGCAATAGACTCAAGGTCAGGGTCAGTGACGACAGTAGCGAGGAGACGAGTGACAGTAGGACTGGCAGCACGTGCAAGGTCGGACTCAGGGTCAGGAACGTGCGGAAGAGAGGACGCGGGAGGCTTAGGCAGGACAACATGCTGTGGAACAGAGGAAGGACGAAGTGCCATACCGTGAGTGCCTGGGACAGCAGGAGGACGAGGACGGGCGACACGACGAGCACAAACAGGTGTGGAAGCACGAGTTTCAGGCTCACAACGCTCAGTCAGGGACTCAGTCACCTCAGTGTGAGGAGCAGGAGCAGGCAGCGGGGAGCCAGGCAGTAGCTGTGGCTGAGACTGGTCTGTCGGTGGACACAGGAGAGGTGGAGTGAGGCCAGTGGAAGACGGAAGACTAAGAACCTGGCGAAGGACCGAGTCAGGCGGCGACAGGGACGACTGCGGCTGCGGGTAGAAAAACAGTCGGCGCGGGGCAGTACCAGCAGCTCCAGCTCCTCCAGCACCAGCAGCACCAGCACCTCCAGCACCAGCAGCTCCAGTAGCACCTCCAGCACCAGCAGCACCACGAGCTCCGGCAGCGCCAGCACCTCTAGCACCAGCAATACCTCCAGCACCTCCAGTGCCAGCAGCTCTCGTAGCACCTCCAGCACCTCCAGCACTAGCAGCACCACCTGCTCCGACAGCTCCAGCACCTCTAGTACAAGCACCTCCAGGACCAGCAGCTCCAACACCTCCAATTCCTACAGTACCTCCAGCTCCAGCACCTCCAGCTCCAGCACCTCCAGCACCAGCAGTACCTCCAGCACCTCCAGTGCCAGCAGCTCCAGTAGCACCTCCAGCACCTCCAGCACCAGCAGAACCACCTGCTCCGGCAGCTCCAGCACCTCAAGTACGAGCACCTCCAGGACCAGC